CTTATAGTGCAATTATCGTCGCATTGTGGAAGCATATATATGTCAATTGTATTGCTAATTATGACATAATTGAGTTGTTTGGCAATTCATTGGCTTCGGAAACCTTCTTCGGCACTTCAACCTACAATACTGGCATTAAACAGCAAGAACAATGCATTGAATTGTTTTAAGCGGCTATTGTTATGACGTTGTATTATTGTTTACCTAAATTAGGCCTATGTATAACCGTGCTGTCATTCAGAGAACTGCCTTAAAGCTGCTCCCAAAGAAATATCGAAATTAAAAAAAAAAATACCATCATATACCGGGCGTCAGGATAAGGGTTTGTAAAAAGGATCTCGTATCAAGATTCGAAAAATATGGAACGCTTCACGAATTTGCGTGTCATCCTTGCGCAGGGGCCATGCCACATCTCTGGAGTCGTTCCACAGCCACATGGTGAAGTTTATTCCTGGTACCTCCGCAAGTGCTGTCAACTTCCAGGCTTACCTTCTAGATGGTGTATCAAGATGGAACTACCTACGGTCAGCAGCAGCCATGAATGTAGGACCAACAACATTTAGAACGTTCGACTTTAGGTTAACGCAGAAAGTGAATTCTCTCAGCCAATCACTCCACAACAAGTCGCTGGTTCCTGTCCACATGATCCCAGCAGAATATACAGGGGAGTTGATTGGAATTGAGTACCTGTACAAACAGAGTGGCTTCTTGTTACCAAAGGATGAAGAGCTTGAAGCTGAAATAGATGAAGGCTTTGAAGACTTTGAGGACGACGCGCAACAAGCTCTCAACTTTGGTAATGAGCTAGAGGAAGACGTTCTGCCAGCTGCCCCGGTGTACTCCAGTAACAGTGAGGATCACGAAAAAGATGATTTTTGTAGGAAGAGGAAGAAGAGGAACTATCAGTAAGTGTTGACTCTCGAGGTATTCCTGGCTGGGATAAGGTGGAGGCCCTAGCACTGGCATTAATCCAGCTCAAAGGCATCAGCATCACAGCTGCTGAAGCTAATAATATCAAACAGTTGTTTGATGTTTTGCTGGATTTTGACAGGAGGCCAATCAAGTATACAGCCAAGGTCAAGAAGCCATCAAAGGGACGCTTTGCTAGATCAAAAGGTGGTTTTGTTGGTGTAGATGCTGTCAAAAGGTAATTCTTAAGCAATCTAAGAATTCCCTGTCTCTTCTTTTCGGCCTTTCCTTCTCTTATTCTCTTCATAATAATGCATAGATTTTTTTTGGTTTTTTCCAGGTGTTTTCTTTCAGCAGGTTCTCCAGCCTCCTCTCCAACCAAGAGCAGAGTTGTAGAAGCTATCTGCCTCCATCTGTCAGAAGACATAACCACACCATCCAAAGAAGGTAGATATACATCTAGGTGGAAGCTTATACTCTCTGCTTACAACAAAATTAGACAGAGGCTACTA